GCACGGTAAAGCCGGACTGAGAAGAAATGTTCCGTTACAAAGTGAACAGTAGACGAAAAATTTCCTAAATCGACCAAAAGTGAGTGTCGCAAGAGGGCTTATTTAGTTGTTTATTTCGTTTATTTCTTTAATCGCCACTAGAGCAGCACTTCACTAAAAAGGGGAAGTTGTTTCAATAATACGTCATTGATATATCACTCACAGTAGTATACACACACACACACACAACACACACACACACACACACACACACACACACACACACACACACACACACACACACACACACACACACACACACACACACACACACACACACACACACACACACACACACACACACACACACACACACACACACACACACACACACACACACACACACACACACACACACACACACACACACACACACACACACACACACACACACACACACACACACACACACACACACACACACACACACACACACACACACACACACACACACACACACACACACACACACACACACACACACACACACACACACACACACACACACACACACACACACACACACACACACACACACACCACACACACCACACACACACACACATATATATATATATATATATATATATATATATATATATATATATATATATATATATATCGCTCACAGACATAATTAAAGTCTGACATATTTCAAAGCTAAGAGAAGATGCTACAGAAGTAAAACGTACCTCATTACTTTAACTCTAAGAGTGCCAAACTGTCATGAAAGATGTCCCCACTAGTGTTGCTCGCTGAAAAGGCGTTCCCAACGTTTGGCAGTCGGCAATACAGACCGCTCTGTACTGCAGCACACGAGCGCGAGGTACAGTAAGCAGAGGTCGGGTGCGGGTCGATCGAGGCGGCACAGGCAAAGGAAAGAGCTTTGCAAGATAAGAGAGTCCAGTTGACCTTGGAAGATGTCTCTCAGAAAGAACAAATCTCCTGGTAACTTATCGGCCTTCAATTTATCTGGAGGCGGGCGTATAATTCCTGTTCAGTAGGGGGATGGAGCTCTAGCTCTCCACCCAATTTTGAGAAGAAAGTGAGCGAAACCCGTGGAAAAACTCATTTTCTAGGGTAACTTTAGGTCAAATTTTGTAATTTTCTCTACTTATCCCGGAATTCATGTTGCGAAACTACACTCGGCAAAAAGTGATTGGTCAAACGACATTGTAGAATAAACAGTGGTTACATTTTCGATACTAAACGTTTCAGACCGTGCTTTTGACCATCAGTGAACAAAGATGAGCAGCAAGCAAGCAATAACACCTAAAACTAAAACAAATGAATCAAGAAAGTGCTCCGAATCTGTGCAGACACTGCCAGTAAAAATAATCACCCGAGCTTCCAGATTCTAACACCTGATGTACGGTTGAAAGGTAATGATGCGCAGAACACAGACAGCTAAGCCGGAGCTGAGCGGGAGGGTACACACAAGGCTTACCAGGTAAAACGAAGACAGAGTAAGGTACATATCGGAGGGTGGCCGTGTGCACAAGGTGCACAGGCGGCTAAACCAGAGGTGCTACGAACACCAGGTATTATGAACATTTCAAGCTAAGCGCATGGCTACTCGTGATCACAATCACAACTTGAAACATCAAGTATTGACAAGATAACCTATGTTTGCTCTGTGACGCCATTTATCAGTACTTTGTAGTGTATTAAATGTCGGTAACTTAAGATAGCCTCTCTTTGCATCTGCCATTGACATCCCAATATTTTCAACCCTATCGTCGAGCGGTTGATTTCGTTTGCTTTTTTTGGGCGGGGGGGGGGGGGGGAGAGAAACTGCCCACCCCCGGACGCCCCAGCTGACAGGCTGAACCTTAAACAGAAACACGTAGCGTAAACTAATTTTCTTACTCCGAGGAAACCTCGGAACACGTTAGCGGCACTCCCAGGAGCACGGACAGGGATGCACGTTCGTTTTCATAGCAAATCAGTAAATATATTACGAGTACCTACCGCATACAATCTTCTTCATACTTTTACAGTGCGATGTTGCGGCTATGTTGAACCCAATTACATGGATGCACACAGTTCCGAAATCAATGGTAGGTGCAGGATCCTATGGGGGTGAGGGATATTTGATATTAAGAAAGTCGTTAAAACACCAATAGGGACGATTTTCTGCCTACCCAACATTGCAATACTTTGCAATTGACAATACTGCAAATCAACAGCACATGCAAGAGGGTGCGAATTTCATGGGGCAAGATGCGTGTTTGAAACAACGTTAAGACGTCGCCATGTAGCAGGTGACGACCTTCTCCCATATCTTCTTCTCGGCACGACCCCTGTGACTTATTGCACCCGCTTGCACACCATCTAACTCTATTGGGATAACACAGCTACTTGCGTACCAAATAAACAATTCGTTCAAGTGGCCCTTATTAAAATTTGAGCCAACGTCCCCGAGCAGATGGTTCGGTATTTACCCGCGTCAGCTGGCTTATCCTAAGACATTTAGCTGAGCGTCGCAAATTATCTAGATACGGGTACACTCGTGATGTGGTTGAGAATAATTGGCTGGACCACTTGTGTGTCTAACTTTTAAGTTACTACAAAAACGCTGAAGAACAAATTCGCCCATGGAAAGCAGCCGTGCGTGCAAAACCCATTGTATGACGTCATTCAAGTTGAAAGTCATTGTGTCAGCTTACAGCAAAACCAGACACTGTTCGGGTCCTCTGGTAACATTGCCAGCTTTGAGCCTCCTCCCAGTTCGGACCATTCTCACTATGTCCCTGTGCAACTGCACGAACAACGAATAACAATCATTACCCTGTCGTGGCTGAGCGACGGCCGCCTTTTTTTGCTTCTGCAACACACTCGTTGATCGAGCCGATAAGATCGTCTTATCTTTAAGAGGTTTTCGCTGCCTGGGTCAATTTATTGACGAACAGCGCTCTGACATGATGAGTTAGTGCGCCGTAGTAAGCGTTGTTGTCACATAAGGTACCCATGTATGTATGTACCTATCCATACCCTCTTGCAGTGACTTGCGGATATGGCTTTGCTTTGACGAAACTGCAGGGCATCGTGATCGAAGAGTGGCACAACGTGGGCTAGGACGAGGGAGAGCCATTGCACCATTTTGCGAGGAAGCGGTCGAGGTGCCTTGAACGGCTTGTTGCACGCAAATTTTTGTACGCAGCTCACTTCCTGGACGCATGAAGTAGCTGAGTGCGTCGATATCCGAAGTAATCCAGGACATTTTGAACTGCACACCCTTCAACGGTAAAGCCGTAAATAATCGTCACATTTTGACTGTTTGAACATATGTTATCCCACCTGACCACGTCCACAATACATCACACGTATCATTAACGTACGTGATGCCTGCTTCGATACGACTTCCAGGAGTTGAACGTACCCTTTCACCAATCGCCCCGCCCTGCGAGGTCAATAAAACCGCTGCCGTCCCCAGCTGTCGGTTTGTTAGACTCCGGTCACGCTTGGCAGTCAACTGTCGGCGCCCGAGCCGGGCCCAGCGAGAACCGGGAACCAAGAACCGAGAACCGAGAACCGAGAACCGAGAACCGAGAACTGAGAACTGAGAACCAAGAACCAAGAACGGAGAACAGAGAACGGAGAACCGAGAACGGAGAGCCGAGAACCGAGAACTGAGAACGGAGAACTGGCCAGTCGCTGTGAGGTGCTGAAGTCCTCATTCTCGAGACACTCTGTCAACAGCGTGCTGGATGCCAGTCCGTGACAAGAAGTCACCTGACAGCGATCGTGGACGGTGGTAGGTCGGCTGTCAGGAGCAAGGCACAAGCGACGGCACGCGGCTGGAAATAGCGCAAAATGAAGGCCAAACATCACTCGTCCAAGCGTTGGCCGGTGCTGTTTTAGAATGAACACTATGCGGAAGCATTCCACGCTCTGAAGTTGGACGGAGGCCGCCGAATCGTGGATTGTTGGCTGGACGGGACCTGACCTGACCTGACCTGAGACCTGAGAGGCCTCACTGCTAGGCTGGCATCCCGCTGGGTGATCAGCTGCGACTGCGGCGGACCAGCGCAAAGTGACCTGTGAACCACCGCTGTGATCCACGGTGCCTGCCAGTGTTCCGCACCAACGCTGCGCTCCACTACTTGACGAACGAACCCTAGACACCTCGGAGAGGCTAAAAGGGTTTATAGGTGAGCTGGAAACCAACGCCGCTTACGTGCTCATGAGGTACATTTTTCTAAGCTAGCCAGGGAGTCACAAACAGTGCGAGGCAGTAGTTTAATGAGTAATTTTTGGCAGTAGTTTAGTGTGGAGCGCTTGGTACCCAATTCATGAACCTCAGCAGTGTCAAATGAATTCGGGTGGGCAATCGCCGTCAAATCACGCGTTTTGGCGGCGGAAAATATCCCTCGCTGAAGAAAAACCGCACGTAAGATGGGATCAAAGCGTGGTGACGCCAGTAGTTCCATGCGTTCTTTGTTGTCATTTTGTCTTCATTTTGTCGGCCATTTTGTCTTCATGGCCAAGTGCTAAAATGAAGGCAGTAAAACAGCGCTGTTGTGTATTTGAACAGCACCAAGTCTGAACACAAACCTAGCAGGGATAACTAACATTTTAATATTTTCTGAGCATACACGCAACCAAGCCATCGTAGCGGTGAAAACAAAGCAAGACACAGCCCAGCTTTTGTTGTTTATCACTGATCCTCCTCACGACGTTTTTGAGACAAGTAACATGTCGAGCTTTTAGAACCATAGACCGCACTGGCCGATGAATCGCAGGCATAGCACGATCTGGCGTTGATCCTAAACGGTACTTTTTGTCTATTGCTGATCATGCCATTTCCGAAATTGATTATCTGCGCCCATTGTCTATCAACGCTATCATTTTATGGTTATCACCTAACTCTTTGCCCACACCCACCTTACGTGCTTCAGCTAGCCTGCCCTGGGACAGCCTGATCCTTTTATATCTGATGATTACCGTTTTCTTTTCAGGGCCAGAAGAACTAAACGAGACCGGCGTACAGAGCATTATCAGATAGTTTGCCTGTAAAAACCCAGGCAGCACTTTGTCCATTTACTCGGAATATCTGGCTGCATTTGTCGGCAAAAGTCGAGACACTCCTAGCCACTGACACGTTTAACGCTCAAAGCACTGTCCCGCCCTTGCTCATGTCATTGATCCAAAGGCTGCTGTCTCCCTATGCACGGAAACAGCTGTGCATCATCACCTTCCACTGAAGCTATTGGGCTTTGCTCACCATCGTAAGTGAATCTCTGCTCTGCTCCCTGTGTGGACAGCTTCGAGATTCAGCCAAACGCGACCTACAGCGTGCCTTGGCTGCCCTTGCCTCAGCTGACCCAGCAGCCGCCCTAGCTTCTCCCCAGCAGCCACCGCCAACAGCAATGGGGTCAAAATACATGGCTATCGCGAAGAACCTGAGGGTGTTGACCGCTGGATTGCTTGGTTTGGCCATGTTCAAGCCACTGGATAACCCCAACAAAATCAACCACGACAAACCCATCAAGGATGTCTACGACTTCATCATCGGTGAGTGCACTCGGAGAGGGGGATCGGGGTCAATTCCCACCGCGTCCAGCACTTTCAGTTACCCGGTTTCCGCGGCAGAGTGTGGCCACAGAAGGGTCCTAGCTGTTTGGAGCTTTACAAATGACGTGACAGTTTTGATTTTTTGTTTTGCTTTGGCTTCGAGTCCTGTTTGGTTATACCAGCAACGAACAGAACAGAAAACCCGAATGCAAATGATCAGGCAGGCCGTGGTTCAATCCACATCAAACCCGCGGTGGTTGTCCGCGTCAAGCCATGCCGTTCACATTCGTATTCGTCGTCAGTTGTCGTTGGGCACGTGCACCAAAACGATGAGCGCAATTTCTGGCATGAAATCGATGACAAGTCAACCGAGCACAGGACATATCACGTTCAAAGGCTTGGAATGCACGACGCGCTAAGGATTCCTGTGCTTCTACCGCTGCCACTGCTATTGCATAATTGCATACCACTGCACCGTCCATTCTCTCGAATGGGCGGTGCAGTGATGCAGTGGTGCAGTGGTGATCGACGCCTGGTGCTCGTGGCTCTCTCCCCAACTTCCAAAACCCTGTTTTTGAGAATTTTTGCGTTTGAAAGTAAATTTTTCCGTTTAAAAATTTGATTAGCAGCATTGTTTTGTCACAGCCCGGTCATCAAAAGCGAGCAAAAAGCGAGCCAAATGACAACCATTCTACAGTTACGAGTGGTACGGTCGATCAATACTGTTCTCCGCGCACCAACGAAAACCATACTACAGTTAACGAGTGGTGCGGCTGACCACTTCTGTCCTCTGCATACCAACGATAAACATTCTAGGGTCACGATTGTTGTGGATCACCTCTGCTGTCCTCCGTGCACCAACCATAACCATTCTACAGTTACGAGTGGTGTGGCTGACCACTTCTGTCCTCTGCTTACTAACGCAAGAGATATGTTAAGTGTCCTACATTAACACACCCATCGCTTCTCATGTAGCAAATTCCTTAGGCACAATGTCGGACAACTGACATTCATCGCGTTTGGTCACAGCCAATTAAACTCTTGCATGCACCCGATCACGACACTCTCTCCATTACCACACGCCGAATCGTTATTCAATGTGGGGTGGGGGCACGTTTTTCACTTGGGTCAAGCTGGCCGCCGAACCGGTTGAACCGGCTGATCAGCTGAGACAATCTCCATGGAAAGCTTTCCGTGCTTGGACGGCCAGTCGGCCCACTTAAGTGCAGTAATCTTGTTCAGATCAGTATTGCAAGAATCACACATGACATAGTAACTCGAGTAAGTTGCTAGGTGCACTTACGGGGTGCATTATGCATATAGATAATACAAATAATAGCCTTATTTCTCGTAGAAAACCTGGGCAATGGAGAGATTGAGGCATTGATTTTTCGGCAATATACCTTTATCGAAATTAAGATCAGTAGTAAAATCGGAATTGCCTGCCGACCCTGCTCGATTCCTTAGGACTTTTAACAGCTTTTAAATCTCTCCATTCCCCTGTTTTTTCTACGATGAAAAAGTCGATTACTGCTGTCTTACAACTCGAATAATGTCAACAGCTTACGCATTTCTAGCAAGCGCTAACAATGCTAACATGTAGCGCCTACGCGCAGACGCGAAGAGGAAGCCATGACATTCAAGAATGTCTGGCGTATGCAGCTGACGTATGCTAACAATTTATAAAGTACATGGATGCCACAAATGCATAAGTCATGCATGTGTGTCAGCGGTTTACATTTCTCCGCGACGCTCAGTGGTTTACGGTCCCCCGCGATGCTCAGTGGTTTAGGTCCCCCGCGATGCTCGCTGGTTTACGGTCCCCGCGACGATCGGTGGTTTAGGTCCCCCGCGATGCTCAGTGGTTTAGATACCCCGCGATGCTCGCTGGTTTACGGTCCCCGCGCGATCGGGATTTAGGTCCCCCGATGTTCAGTGGTTTAGATACCCCGCGATGCTCACTGGTTTAACGGTCCCGCGACGATCAGGGGTTTAGGTCCCCCGCGATGCTCAGTGGTTTACGGTCTCCCGCGATGTTCGTTGGTTTGCGGTCCCCGGATGCTCAGTGGTTTAGGTCCCCCGCGATGCTCAGTGGTTTAGATACCCCGCGATGCTCGCTGGTTTACGGTCCCCGCGACGATCAGGGGTTTAGGTCCCCCGCGATGCTCAGTGGTCTACGATCCCCCGCAACGCTCAGCAGTTTGGGGTCCTCGCGACGCCCAGCGGTTTACGTTTCCCCTCGGCATTCAGTGTGTGAGATTGTGACAGTAGAGGAAACCAAGGCATCGAAATGATCTTCGAATGCGAAAAACACAAGGTCATATATCTAAAAAAATTTACGTATGTGTTCAGGATCTATTGGCAGGTGAAACTGTGGTCAGCGTGCATGTGTCTCCCAGACGTGTGACAAGTCACTTTTATCACGTTAGGCGTGTTCTCAGGCCTGTGACTCGCATGTGACATCTAGGCTTTAATTAGTGACCTTTGACCACTGCGTTGAAATCATTACCTTGTAGCTGTGACTAAGTTGTGACCCATAATTATTTTGAATACGAATCGTTCTGGCTCGTGCCCTGCTGATGACACTTTGTGACTTTAAAGCTTTTTGGGGGGCCTATGACCTGTGATCTGTGACCTATAATTGCCATTGTCATGATTGTGGTCTCTAAGTAGTTGACCTTTAAACTCCAACCAAGGATCCTCAGGCCTCCACCGTGACCTGCAGCTCGTGACTTGTGTGCCTTACAGCCTCCAGCACCTCCCCTGACATCAAATCCTCGTTTTTGACCAGCGAGGCCGGGACACCTGACATTTGACCCATGTCGTGACCTCTGACCTCTGACCGATGCACGCGTGCCTGCGGCCAGTCGGCGGCGGCACGGCGGGCGCCGTGCTGGCCGCCCGTCTGTCGGAGGACCGGCGAAACTCCGTGCTACTGCTGGAGGCTGGCGACGTGGGCACCGCCTACACTGAGTGGCCCATGTTCACCAACCTGGTGTACGGCTCCAGTCGCTACGACTGGCGCTTCGTCAACGTCAAGGACGACGGGTACTGTGTCGGACTTCGCGAGGAGGTAGGCGAATGGCAGAGGCCTTGATGGACTAAATTGTCATGCTCCGGTGCAATACAGTTTATCACTTTTAAATTAAATCGGACCATTGGGCCGTATTTTCACACTTTTATTTTCAATACCCTACTGTTGTATATATTTCATACAAATTTTTAAAATAGATTTTAGTTTTTGTGTTTTTCCAAAAGCCTATTATTTTTAATTTTTCCGAAATAGGGGTTTTCCGCAATTAAGATTTTTCTGAGTGCAGTTTTGGCAGGGTCAACGGACGTTGTTGCGTGCTTTGCATGAGCCGATCACATTTATGGAATATCTTACAGATAACGCAAAATTCATCGTGTGTCGGCACATGCGTCGTTTCTTAACTTATCTTGAGATTCTTGAATCCAAGCCAATCCAGTCGTGCTGGCCATCATGTAATCCAGCCATTTTTATTGCCTTCCTGGATTTAGCATTCAGTCCAGTCCAATCCTTGGCGTTATCAAATTTGCAGAGCTCTAATTGACTGCCATGTTTATGAAAATGGTGGAAGGTGGCTGGGGGCTGGGGACATAGACAGCACCTCCTCATCCGCCATGAAAGCTGACTTTTACCCTAATATGATGTTGATAAAAATTTACCTCCGCATGGGTTTTGTCTCTGCATGCTTCTCAATTCGTACACCCTCGCATGATGCTGACTTATGCATGGACCGAGTCTGGCACATGGCGATTAGCGTCGAGTCGTCTAGAGCGGGCTAGGAGCTTTGTACATGTGTCGGCATCGATTCTTTTACAGCGAAACCATTCCCCGGCCTCACTTCACCAGCGTCGGACGCTGTCACACTGTTGCGCCGACCAGCGCTGCGTGTTGAATGTAATATCTTTGACAAACAGCAGAACGCTTGTGTGGCATTGGGTGCATGGCGTTATAGAAGATTAGCGCTCTCGTCGTGCAGGTGATTCCGAAACTAAAAGGAATGCAGGCAGATGCGTCTCGAAACTCATCGCAAATGGCTGTTGTCAATGCATTAAGTGTTAGTCCCTATGGCTATTTTGTAAACAGACATTCACTACTGCACGCATACTGTTCTATCACTAAGTATTGAGTGGCATCGCTTGCAAACTGGTTGGATGCTGATCCATGGCCATTTCAGTGGAAAAAATGAATGCATTTGGGGTGGTTTTCGACGACCGTTATCAAAGCATCAGAACAGCGGCATATTGGTTGGACATTGTCCAAATGAGCTGGACTATGCGCCTGTGTAGTTTTCATGCCATACCGCTCACAGCCAGGATGTGAAGTTGCTGCTGGGAGTATATATTGCTATGGGTCAGACAAGAATGGCATCGGAGTGATACGATCGCAGTGATGAGATTGCTTAGTGAGTGGCCGCAGGCTCATTATTTG